TCGAGTGAAGTAATCACCTCTTAATGCGCTTAGGAAACGTGTCCTAGATGAAGGGACTTGAGTATTTGAAAATTTTTCAACTAGTAAGGAGAAAAAAGGTGAAAACTTTAAACGTTAAGTCAGGTTTTCAAGGCTGCGCATTTGAAACGGGTGTAAAGAGAGTTCACTTCATTGGTTTTCTCTACAAGGGACAGTTTGGTACATTATCCGTGTAGCGGAGGCTGTCCTCGGGCCAGCCTGGGCTTGCCTAGGGTTAGGGATAAGGGCTGCGACAGCCTTCACCTGTTAAAATACACATCACCAGTAACTTCTTAAGTTTGTGTTAGTCGGGGTGAAATAAATACGAGAACAACAAGGTGCTCATTTAGGAAAATCTTTTAATTTGTGACTTCCGAGGTTAATGAGAAGAATGGTGAAGGACAAAGATTACTGAGTCTGTAGAAAGTAAAAGAACAGCATGAAATCTAAGAACAAAATTCATGACCGAATTTAAAGAGAAACAGACTACCTGGTGTTTATTGCAGCTTTGTTTGTTAGTATCTATGAGACTAGTATACCACTTTCTGATCAAAATAATAGCACCTAAGAATATTTTGGTAACAAAAAGGGAAGAAACAGCAAGTACTACAAGAAAAAAGATAAAGGATTATCTTAATATGTGCTATTATAAGAATATAATGTTGTGTCCTGTTTTTAGCCTGAGGTAGGTTTCTTTCAGCTACAAGTAGATACAAACCCTAAATGCAATGAAAGATAATAGTGATTTTTTAAATAAATTTTCCCTTAAAACCCTGAGTTGGAAATAGAAGTGATCATCCTACCTCAGCCTTCCCAGTAGCTGGGTCTGTAGGAAGTTGCTACTGTGCACGAAAAAAAAAAAAAAAAAAAAGAAAGAAAGAAAAAAGAAAGTCATAATAAGTAGTAAGCTGTTGATGTTGAAGAACCATTGTATCATGTATCATTAGGGACAGGTCTTTGGTAGTATGTTTGTATTTTGTGGAAATTTAGAAACAGATTGCAACCTATATAGAGAGGCAAATATCTAATGTACTATATAGCTTATAGCATTCTTTTTCAGGTCCAGAAATAAGATTAAGTGATACATAAAAGTTTGTTTGTTTGTTTGTTTGTTTTAATGTGCACTGGGGTTCTCTTTTAAACAGTTTCTATAGCAAATTTGAACTCTGAAAAACATTTTAAATTCGATTATGTTTGGTTGCTTTCGTAAATCATTTCAAATTCATTAATTCATTGGTTTATGTACTGGTGCTTTGCTCTTATTTCTTTAAATTGTCTGATATAACATATTTTGTGCATTTACAACCAGATGGTTTTCTGAGGTGTTCAACACTTTCCTTACTGGTTACATATTTGGTTATACTTCATTTTAATAACAACATGATAGATGTTGAAATGCAATTATGTAAATAATTTGATTAATATCACTTCTTTGTTTTATTGGAATTTATATGTGTGTGTGTATATATGTATGCATATATAGATGGTACTGTTACTTGTTTTCTTTGTAAAATTGATAGGGTTTTCTCTTCTGTAGATGTTTGAACTTTCCTTGAGTTACTATACTTTTAATGAAAATTCAGTATTGTGATAAAGGATGTTTATTTAATTTATCTGATTTAATCGGGCATAAAAATAGGAAACTCAATTATATTAGTGCAAAGCAAAATCTGGATGTTTGTGGTGTAGTGTCCATTTTATTTATTCATGTTTGTACCAAGAACTTCTTTACTCATATGTATACCTCAGGTGGGATAATAGCTCCTAAGGGTTGCTTCTTCTGGTAATGACTTCATCTTTTGGAAATTGATTGGTCAGAAAATTTTAAGAATAGGATTGATAAAGTTAGGTGTGTAGTTTGGATAACTAATGACAATGCTGATTTGGAGTAAGGATTATGTCCCAAATGACTTTTAAGAAATATGGAGGGCCTGGATTAAGTGGTAGAGAATACAGATTACCTTTAAAGAACTAGAATAGAAAATAGACAGACCTGATCAGCAAATTATTGTTTCTTTCAAGATGTTATGCCAGTTTTCTGGTCAGTATTTGGAATTAGATAAGGCAAACACACAAACGCCCAGTTAAAATTCCTGCAGTAAGAATGTGGCTTGATTTGCTTGGAATTAAAATGTTTCATTGCTGGTTGAAGTCTTTAGTTGTGAAGTTTTATCTTTACAACTTTAGAGTAGACTGGAAAGAGAAACAAACATACAATAACTGCCCTCTGACACAAATCTACTTGTTTATGCAACTGAATTGTTGGACCGTGCCCTGATGATATTTTTGTTACTCTCAAATTGTATAAATATGGATAAGACTGCTTATAGAAAGCATGTAATTCTGTGTAAGCTATTGAAAATATTTTAAACCCTTGTATTTTTTCAGCTATAAAATACTACTGACAATATAGGTCTATCTTGCTTGGCTTTTAGGATTAGAGTTAATGACCATATTATTACATAAATAATGTATAGTATTTATTATTATATAGTACCATTAGGTTCTTTTTTAATTCTTTAATTACTAATATTTTACATATCCACCCCCCCATTCCTTTGCCCTCCCATTCTCCCATGTTACCCACCAACCTCCCCAACACTCCCCCAACTCCTCCCCAGGGATAGTGAGGCCCTCCACCAGGGAACTTCAAAGGTGTCTAATTACAGATGTGTGCTACTGTAGTTAAGTAGGCATTCTAAAATCAGTTAGCCAGTAAATGGAAGAGCCAGGATTATAAGCCTGTAATCTTTTTAATGTATTTCTCTTTTAAGCCTTAAAATTTAGTTGTTGTTTTTAATGTAGTTTCTTTGTTCAAATACCAGGTGGTTTAGTGTAGCTAGTGCACTAATAATTCTAAGTGTCCGAACTGGAATATGGGATGAAGAATCTTGATTCTAGTTTTAGTGATTATATTAGGCCATAGAATGTGATCCCTAAGAAAATGAAATATTTTTAAGAAAGTGGAGTCTTAGTGTGATTTTGTTTAAACTATTGGGTTATATTCCCACTAAAGCTGGAAAAGTGTATATTGGTTGAAAGAGTATGTATAAATTTCATTCCAATTTATCATTTTTCTCTTTAGAAGTCTGCATTTCAGTTTAGTTTTAAGAACTCATTTAATTTTTCAGTAAATCAAATCATTTTTAATAGTTTATATGAATCAATTTGGCATGCTCTATTAGACACAGAGAAGCTATGAATAGGATAGGCTATCCTTAAAGAATTTACACTCTGTGGTAGATCATATGAATCTCTAATGATATGTAGGCTTGGAAAGAGCTACATTTTTTTATTCTGTATCTTTGTCAGGGAAGGGGTAGTTATAAATACAGATTGACAGACATATATAAAATTTACTATATAAAGTATATTTGTTTTTAAAGCAAGAACAGGGAAACCTTTTAGCCTATAATATAACATGTGAGGTATTAAAAGTCTAATCTGTTCAGTTACATATTATTTGAAATGTACTCTTAATACAAATAGTTGTTAAAAAATGAAGGTTATTTCTGTTGTAGCTTCTAGTTAGACAGATTTTTCTAATAAATATGTTTATATCAGGGGGGACTTAACAAAAGAATTGAACTCGTTTTCTTAGATTAACAATTGGAAAGAATTGCATTCTTTATGTAATATTTTTGAGAGTTTACTATTCCTGGTATTTGAAAAACTATTGCAGAATTGAGTTTCTCAACTTAAGGAATTTCAATGTTGCTTTGAAAAACAATAGTCAATTCCTCTTTTTAAAAAGTAGGTAGTAGTAAAGGTATTATATTCCAGAATTACCTGGAATGATATTAATAATGCTTTATATCCCAAAGTTGACAAAAGTTAAGTTGGTATGATTGTCATATATTTTATGGATGAGGTAGAATTAGAACTTCATTTTATGTTGTTGTTGTTGTTGATGGACCAAAGAATACTTAGTTAAATAATGTACCCAGCATAAAGGAGTTCTCTGATAAGAGCAGAGATTTCATGTAGAGAAGTTGTAGGTAATGGTGGTGTATCTATTGATTATAGATTTGGGGGGGGGAACCGGATTGGTAATAATGAATATTAATTTAAAACTTGAGTACAAAACAATATAATACCAGCATTACTCTTTCATAAACACATGCTAGTTGACAGCAGTTAAATCAGAAAAGCTAAACACTAGAACAAAATCCAGAGATGAGATGAAAAATGCTAAACACAAGGTAGTGGGAACTAATTTAGATATGGATGTTCTAGTGGTAAAGAAAACAAAATGGGGAAGACATAATAAAAAGATGAAAACTTTATAGTCTGGATGTTTCATTCATTTAGGATGTATTTCTTAACTTTTTATAAGCCCGAATTCATGGTTCTATGAATTAAAATTAATAAGAAGGATAATAAGCCTAAGCTAATTGGGTAATTGATCTATGTGAGCTAGCAATCATTGCTTTTACATGGTTGAAAAGTAGAATATAGTACGAGTTTTAATAGAGATTAATTTGATCTTGTTGTATTTTAAATGGTATTATGTAATTAAAATATTTGGTAAAAGTCCACAAATAGTGAAGTGAGGATTAATACCAGGGATTAAAAAGATGTAACTATAGTGGTCATTATTGTAAAAGGAGATAATTGAGGGAAATAGTTGAAGCCACGAAAATTAGTTCAATCTTTAAGGGGACAATATCTTGAAGGAGAAAAATAGGGTTAAAATGAATTGGGAAAGAGCTATATTGGGGGGAATAAATGATGATGAATACTTAAAATACAGGAAAATTAATAAAAAGACATTAAGAAAGTCAAGAGAACACATACACACTAGAAACCATGAAAGAGAAGCACTTCCTGAGGAGAAGGTATACTAAGAGTGTCATTGCACCAGGCAGTGGTGACACCACATCTTTAATCTCAGCAATCAGGAGGCAGAGACAGGCAGATCTTTTGTGAATTCAGGTCTAGCCTGGCTTAAAGAGTGAGAGTTCCAGGACAGTCAGGGCTACACAGAGAAAGCCTGTCTTGAAAACCAAAACAAACGAGTCATTTGCAACACAGCATGTAAAGAATGGAATGAAAGACAGACTTAGGTGTGAAGACATACTTAGTAATTTTTGAGAATGAAGGTTTAGAATTATTGGAATGAATTAAACCACAAAAGAGACCTTCAAGACACCTTTCTACAATTTTGCTTCTAATTATGGTTTATTAGCACTACATACTGACTTCTGCCATTGAACTTGTATCCAGCTCATAATCTTTTTCAAATCCTATGTGACTTCAACCTTTTTTAAAAATTTTTTTTCTTAAAAATCACAATAGAAAAGCAAAAAAAAAAGAAAAGAAAAGAAAAAAAGAAAAATATACTAAGGCTCTGAACATCTGGTTCATCTCACTTTAAGAAAAACAGAAAAAGAAAATCCCCTCTTACTTGATTTCTGCTCTAGCTTACTTCCTAGGATTTTCCTCTTCACAGTTAAATTTCCTAGGAGTTGTGTGTGCTTACTGTCTTTATATCCACACTTCAACAAATTTTCTCCCATTACACTATTTTTACTAATTACTACTAATGACTACTAATGACTCATATGTCATTATTTCCAATGTACTTATGTAGTCTTCATCCTACTTGACTCCCGGGAACTTTTAATATAATTGTGTTCAAACCCTTTTCTATGGCTTCCATTGCATCAGAAATAGTAACAATTATTATTATTTTACTGTTTTAAGAATAGTTGGAAGCCAACAAAATGTCTTAGGCATATTAAGACTAGTGTGCCCATTGAACTAAAGGGCAAAGAATATATATAACTAAAGGAAAAGAACGGGTCAATTATAAAGCTGTTGTAGTAGAAGACAGAGAATAGTATTTGCTTAAACCAGAATGGTAACAAGCAATTTGGAAAGAATTTAATGAACAAGGGAAATTTCAGAATGTCAATAGGATTTTTTTTTTTTTTTTTTAGTGGATTCACTAAAACTAGGTGAGAAAACAGGATTTATATATTCTGACACTTAGCTAAGATGAGATGCCTAGGAATTATGAGAGTATGGAAGGGAAGACATTATTGCCATTTTTTAGTTTCAGGAGCCCATAAGATTCTAAGTAAAATGACAAGGGAGAGTTTGAATATATATCTTATATCCCAAAGAAGCTACAGATAAAAAATTTTTATTGGTTATATAGAATCAGTTAGTACTTTGGAAAGTATTGTCAAAGATGTTCTCTTGCTCAGGTCCACCTTCAATTGCCTCCACCCCCCTAGTGGTGAGATTCCATGCATGAGTCACCATGTTCATCTCTCACTGAGTACATTTTCATTTAATGCTGAATAAAATCATGTTGAGCTTCAAACACTGAAAGCAAGAATTGAGACTTTGTGTTCATACTTCTAAATTTGCTAAGTGTTAGTATAAGTTTTCATATATGGAAGTCTGTTTCAAAACTTTCTGAGGATAACATTTTGTTTGGGTTGTAGTGAGGATACGTAGAATTTTGGGTGTGTTTTCTTTTTCATTTATATGTTTAAAATCACACCCGAAGGTTGTAAAGCAGACCTTTACATTTTTGAGAATTAATGTTAGTCTTTAATGTTTTCTTCATTTATTCTTAGTTATCTAAGAATTTATTCAATCTATACACATGGGTTCCACAGTTATATTTTTAGACTTTAGCCTGAAAGACAAAAACTTAGCTATATATAAGAATATTTGGCATGAAGGAAATTAACTGGGATAAGTTTATTATGAAAGAAGGACAAGGATAATTAAATTGGCAGGAGAATGTATCTCTTAGAAATATCATTTATGTTGAGACTTCAGCTCCAAGTAGAGTTGTATATGAGAGATGTCATTGTCTTGCATTCCATGAGCACTATACTTTCTAGGATCTGAAAGGCTGTTTTAGGTATGATTTGCTATGTAGAGTTTAATGTATCTTGGCTTTCTGTAAAACTAACAATTTGTATTTTTAAAAAATAACTTAAGAATGAATATCGCAAAGGACTAATTAAAACAAAATGTATTCCTCTCCAGTATGCTCGCTCCACCTTTACGGAAAAGCTCCCAACCAGAATTTCCATGATATTATGTAAAAACATTAGAAATAATTGCTATACTCAAGGACTGTGGAGCATGAAACCTCACATACATGGAAACAATAAGCTAAGAATGAAATGGTTGCTACATGAGTATGTCCATTAAGTCGACAGTATAAAAACATGACTAACAGAAATATCACCACATGAGAGATCTCAAACGTGAGGAAAAAAAGTTCACAGAATTTGTCAAGGGAAGAAAGAACAAATTGGAGGAGGGGAGAGTGATAGAAGTAGCAAAATTAGAGTTGGAATAAAAGTCCTGCTCTGTAAAAATAAAGGAAGATAATAGGAAGAAATTAAAGGAGAAGAGACCGGTAATAGCATCAAGAGTCTTTTCTAACAGCATTATATTTGAGTACAACTTTAGAAACTTTTTCATATTGTAATAAATGTTAAGTTTTCATAACCTACCTGTGAGATCTGTATCAAAATTGATTATTTCTATCTTTTCTTCAAAATCTTTTCCATGATTTTTTACATTGCAAACTCAAAATTACATACTGTTATTAAATTTAAGTATCTAAAGTAATTGCAAATACTTGTCTTAAATAAAATGTATATAACTTGTAGTATGTTGTGTTTATTTACTCAAAATATTCTTTTAAGTGTTTCAGGCTGCATGTACCAAGTAGTTCAGATGGTTGGCACGGATGGAAAAAATCTTCTGAAATTACTTCCAATCCCTAAATCATCTGGAAATTTTACCCCAGTAGTTCAATCTCCAGTGGTATCTGATGCTTTGAAAAGGAATACAGGAAAACCAGTTCAAGTTACTTTTCAAGCTCAGATTTCCAGCTCTTCCACAAGTGCATCTGTTCAATTGCCCATTTTTCAGCCAGCTGATACTACAAAATGTATTCTTACAGAAACAATAGATACACCAGGAAAAGGTGGCATTACTTCAGTGGGGACTGGAAGTTTTATACCACCAGTTTCTAAAGTTGAAAGTCATGATGTGAAAATTGATGGACTCAATATGCAAACATTTGCTATTCCTCCCTCAACACAAGATGATTCATCTCACTTTGTAGTCAGTACCCCAAGTCTTCCAGTGAATGTGAATTCTCCAGTCTTGCCTCCTGGACCTCATTTACAGATTCCAGTCCATGCTGAAGTGAAATCTATACCTGAATTAACTTTGTCTCCTTCAGTTCGGCAAAATATACATGCAACTACAACCAGAAGTCCCTCAGGAAATGTTGAGGCCTCCCAAATACCAACAGTTATTTATGTATCTCCTGCAAATAAAGTGACAAATAGAGTTACCAAGAGCTTTCAGAAAATTTACCCCAAACCGGTGATATTAAATACCGCGAAAATCCCACCGAATGTTGCTACAGAGACACAGTTAAAAAGTGGTCAGCATTCTGACACTGCTCAAATGAAAATAATTTTTCAAGAGAGTCTGCAGACTGGTATTCCATCCCTTGTTCCAGTTAAGTCATCAAATAATGTGGATTCAAAGATTTCAAAAACTTTTATAGGTAGGAAAAAATTGAGAGATAATACTATAAATACACCTCCGTTGAATACCATCAGTTCTAATGGGACACAATCCATAAGTGTGCCTATTAAAGATAACACTTTGGTAATGCTTAATGGGAAAGTCTATCTGTTGACTAAAGAGGGGACACATGGTCTGCCATCACAAAATGACCACCCGAATTCTGTTTCTTCTGGTAATCCACTAAGAAAAGATTCATCGCAGGTAGTAAGTTCAAGTCCAGGGACAGAAATATCCAAAGAGTTAAATAGTGCTTTCATTCAAAGTAAATCTTGCCAGTTGGAGACAAAATCACTTTCAAATTCCCAGCTTGCTTCCTTGACCAGTCTAAGAGCAGAGAAGAATGAAACAGTGGCAAGACCATCTTTTTCTATGGCAAGCCCACATACTGTGAACCAATCCAGTAACTACCATAAACAGAGTAAGACTGTATTTACAGACCCAGTTGGATTTAGGACAGTTCAGAATGCCCCCAGAAAAGGAAATCTCATCCAAAGCATAGAGAAAATATGTTCCTCTGTTGATGCAGCAACTGTTACTTCACAACAGTGTGTTTTCAGAGACCAAGAATTACAGGTAATTGTCAGGGTATTCCTTTTATATATCTCTGTGGGAAATACTTAATTGTCAAAATTGTCTACTACATACATACCCCATCACACGTGCTTACTTAAAGCTTTCATCTGAAAAATTTGAGGAGTGCAGTCGTCTCTCCTCATGTACATGTTACTTTGTTACTTTTCTGTACAATAAAATTTGTAATTGTATGGATAGTTTACATTTGTATTCATTTAAATTCCGTTTTTAAATGGTAAAAATAAATGAAATGCAAATCTTTTAAAGTATTAATCATTCTTTTGTGGAAGAGTTGATAATTGCTTAGTTACTCACCTGACAGAGCAATCCAAGTAATGAGCAATATTGTTTGTGTTTTCTTCTCTTGATTCCAGACCCAGTGTGAGATGGCATCGATGTTAAAAAAAAATACTGAAGAAAGAAATAAGAAATATTCTGAAGGAAGTAATACTAAGGCATCATATCTGAAGAGTGATGCTGAACTTAAAAAGCTATTTGGTCTCACTAAAGATTTGAGAGTGGGTCTTACTCGCATTCCTGACTATCTGGGTTCTAGAAAAGGTTCTGATTCCGTTAGCAGTTTGATGAAGAGTAGCTCTTACAAAGATGCAGAGTTTGTGGTGAAGGAAGAAGAAATAAAACAGGTAATAGTTTTGTTTTTGTTGTTTTTAAGTGTATGACATTTTTGTAGGTGTGACAAAGTTACATGGTTATCTTTTGGTTTTAATGTGCATTAGATTGAATGATTTTTTTTATGAAACTTGTAAATATCTCATACCAAACAGTGACAAAAATCATGCACACAGATAAAAATATATCCCTAGTTAATTTGAGTTCTAAGTATTTTTAGTCACCTTGGTTTTTTTTCCTTTTGTCATGTAAGAAAATAGTCTAGAGAGTTGGTTCAGTAGTTAACAGCACTTGTTGCTCATTCAGAGGTCCCTGATTTAATTCCAGTATCCACATGGTGGTTCACAACCATCTGTAACTCTAGTGGCAAGGGAATCAGACACCCTGGGCACCAGGTAAATACATGCTACACATGCAGCAGGTCAAAAACTCAGAAATTAATAAAATGAGTAAATATCTTTAAAAAGGAAAATAGCAAAAAAGCATTTCAACTAGTTATCCTATTTTAAAGAATTACCTAAAGAAAATAAGTATAAGGGAAAATGTGAGCATGCTGATGTTCATTGAAGTGTTAACACTTAATAAAATTTTTAAAGTTACTTTTCTATAATTTTTTGCAGATATTTTTATTTGAATTAAAAACAAGATTGTTTTACGTGACAATCCCAGTTCCCTCTCCCTCCCATCCTCCCCTGCCCCCCCAACTAAAACCCTACCTATGACATATTCT